CGATAAATAGTCGGATATTTACACTCCTCGTTGCATGCGCCACGTTCATTATATCGCGGTTAGGTTTCGCTGTAGTCTCATAACAACGATCTTCGGTCTGTATAATTTCCCGACAGTATCAGCTTGCTGGACAGCATAATGAATCTTGGTTTAAGTTATAGCTCTTTGACTACGGCCGTAAATATATGTTGATATAGGATCACTGCTTCATGTTAGAGTTATTTGATTGTTATGGTTATATTTTCTTTTGAAAGGAATATAATCCCCAAAGTACAGAGCACAAGGTGGAATTGTAAATCCCTGTTTTAGAAATAGAAGGAAATTAAACAGCTGCCTGCGTTGTGGAACATCTAACCTGTCTAATTCTTTTTATCACAATATCTTTACAAACTTTTACAGTTTCAGTGAATTTGATAATAATTATAAAATATGTTTATCTTTTGTAAAAAAAAAACACTTTACCCTTGCCCCCTCTCAAACACGCCAGGACAATTAACAGTTTCAGCAGTAGGACAATTTGTTTGGACTTAAAGATTCCAAGCACATTTTTTTGAAGATCACATTGTATAGAGTGATTTTAATTACGCTACATCACAAAATTAGGACCCACAGAATGAGGAGGGGTAGCTACAATCTACAATAAACAATACCTACGCAGATAAAAATCTAATATACTCCTCAAATTGCTACTAATACCTTAATGAAACTCTTGACCCTGAAGAGACATTACAACTGACCACAAACTGTTGAATGAGGCTGTATATATGGTTATAAGATAGATATTTAATTTATTACATTGTTTTGTTATAGTCTTAGTTCAATGGTCCCATAAACCAGTCTTTCCTCAGTCTCCATAAAATGGTGGGGCAGTTTTATAGTTTTACTTACGGTGGTAGTTAAATTCAAACGATTGAATACAACGAGCACATAATATAAATTGAATATGATACTGGAGAAAAATCTTAGCAAATGAAATAACGTAGGTATTGCTAGTTTTAATTTTATTAGGTATTACATGATTTTACAAAATTACTTTCCTGTACATACATGACTAAACTGACATCGTTTAGTTCTAACCTAACAATGAATTGATCCAAGTGATTACGTAATGCGTAACTGTTTTTTTATCGCTATAAAAATGGCATATATCCTAGAACAGCTAGTTCAGCTAGAACAGCCATCCACCGTAACACCACTATATGATACGATAAGATGGTCAAACGTTTAGTTTTTAGCACACAATTGGGAATAAAAGTGTTTTCCCCCTAGTCTGATTTTCTTTTTATTCCCTAGTCTGTGATTTTAGTAACCCACCACCCAGTGCAGGACTTCAGGGACAGATTATTTCCAATTAGGCTTTACTAGACCAGCGAGCTCAGTCACTTGCAATATTTTCGATAATGCTCCCATGGGACATCAAACGTTTTATGACATTTTTTGTTTGCTATGTAATCTAAATAATGCATCTGTTATAGAAAAACTGAACTTTAGCTGCGATGCTTTTACCCATACTTTTTAAGTACAGCATTACATATCTTATGCGAAAACTCACTGTAAAATAGCTTCTGTTTTCAACACAATGTTCCTATGTAATTTAGCGTTCATTGCGTCATTGACAGACGTTGCGTTGCCAAACCACTGGATCACGATCACCGGTATTTCCCTCCAAAATACACGTAAACCCCGCGAAATCCACCGCCGTGATGCGATGACAGGACAAAGCAAGTTGTCCGTTTACCACATTTCACCGCGCGTCAGTCCTTTCTACGTTTGACAGGGAAAGTGGCGAAATGCCGTTTGTTTGTTATGTAGAACGTTCCGTCTGTCATTGATTCTGAAACGCGACTGGGCGAAACAATGTGTCAATATTGCTTGCGTAAAATGTGTTGTATGTGTATAGAGATAGTATCACGAATATTAAAACAGAGGGAGGTATGGATCATAAAAATAAACAAATGACGTAACTGGCCCGAATCCTATACTAATAACATTAACATATGGTTTAGACAGTTCCATTTAAGAAGTGTTAAATACTGTTTACTTTCGGGCCAGTGACATAATTTGTTTGTGTTAATAATCCATACTACGTTCTGTTCTAATATTCGTGGATCGTATGTGTATAAATAAACGTTATTAGCAAACTGACACATACTTTTTCCCATAAGCTTGTTAACAATTTTGTTCAAAATTTTAAGGGCCATAACGTACTAATTTTAATCAAAACCGGGCTTTTTCTAAAATCAATTTTTTCGTTTTATGGGGTTTTATGGAAAAATAAAATAAGTTACAATAACTTTAGGACCGAAATTTATACGGAAATGAAATTTGCATAATATTGTTCAGAATTTAAAGAAATATAAAATGTTTGAGCATTCTCAAATTAGGTCTAAACTTAAATTTATTTTAAATAAAATAATACTTGTTTTGTCATTTAAATAATAGATATTTAAATGTTTTGTGTGTAAATAAATCACTGCACTTTTTGGTTCAATTCAGAATAATATTTTAAGTGAGTTCATAAAATAAAATTGTATTAAGTTAAGCCAGACAGAGAGAGAGAGAGAGAGAGATAGGCAGACAATGCAGAGGAATGTGCTGCGTATCCTGCTTATCAGTTCCAGCCGACATGATATAGACTGACCAGTGGGTTTTCCTGTACACTGCTCCAACTCACGCAGTTACTATGCAGTCTTCATGTGAATCAAACATTATGAGGGTCTCTGAATCCCTCTAATTATTTTACCATGGGTCTCAGTATCCCATATTAAATCATCAATTATTGACTCTATTGTTTCAACAGAAGTTTTATTTAACCGTGAGGAACATTCACCAGAAGTTTGTGTGCACACAGTGTTATATTTTATTTTCTCAAGAAGTGTTAATCTCCATTACTTGGTATTAACGAACATTCATTAATTTCTTCTCTTCGAGGTCGTGAGTACATCTCTACACATCATTCCTCTCTGTCTATTTCAATTTGGACTTAAATATCTCATCAAGAGAATAGTTTTGATTTTATTTGTAAAGGGTTAATTTAATTTTGTATTATTATAATATTTTCTTAACTCAAATGGATTTATTATTTTTCCAATAGTAATTCACTGTTTAGACAGATCAATAAACTTGCTTTCTACTATATTAACAAATATCTATTGAACCAGCAATTATTCAGTTTGGTAGCAAAGTCAGGAATTTAATTTTTAATTCCCCTTTGTTCAAACATAAAATGATAAATTTTTACCAAACAGTTCGGGCCGCATATGTTTCCGTTATTTTAAGGGTTTTATGGGAAAATCACCATTCAAAATATAAAAAAATATATACCCAGTATATATTTTTATTATAACCATTAAGGGTCAGCAATGAGTAGATTTTAACGTTATTTTTCACCACACTATGATGTTATTAGCTGTTTTACATAAGTTAAATAGAGGCTGAAAGATACGTTTTGCTGGCCATGCCAGCTGTCATCGTCATTTGGGGACCGAGCAGGTTTTTACATCCATAGGGCCGCAAAATCAGCTGCCCACTTGCATATTAAATAAACAAACAGTATCCATAGCATTGCAATAGAATTGTTTTATTTTAACCGTTGCCTAGCAACTGTTTATTATTATTTTTGCTGATTCCTGAATTTACTTCTTCACATAACCATAAAGTTGCGTTGACTATGCAGTGTGCATTAATTATTATTGTGAATAGTAGTAGTGTGGTGAAAAATAGTGTTCGTAACACGGACCAAAAATGGTTTTGCAGCTCTCGATCGTTTTAAGTTCTCGACTTCGTGTCGAACCATCTCGAGCCGGCAAAACCTCATTTTCGGCCCTAGGTACGAAATATACTATTACCTATAGTAGATTACAATTTAATAATGTGATTTAGTTAGATTTATCATACTTTTGGAACAGCTGGAGACAATTTTATGGTATTCGATCATTTTGGTAATCCAAGAATAACTTATTTTGACTTTGCAATGTAATTAAATACCCCTCATTATTGCACATTTCTTCTTAGAATATTTTGAAAACTACTCAATAATCAAAGGTGGGAGTGTCTTTTGATCAGACACAGCGGCACAGCCTTGATTGATAAGGGAAGACAGAATGGTAAACCTAAAAGGCCAAAGTTGTCTGGTGTGGTTAAACTTCCCTGTCATCATCAAACATCACCTTTCAAAGTTCTGTCTTGAGATTATCAACAGGGTTCACCCCCGATACCACCTCTTACTACTACAGTAGATTTGTTATTACTACGTTACAGTGTTCTGCTGTTGAATATCGTTTTCTTGTAGACCAACTATGCAATTATGCTAAACGGAAAGGGTACATTTTGTTAGCTATAAATTTGTCTCTCAATCAACTATCAAAGTATGAAAACCAGGATAGAACAATAAAATTATCTCCTTGGGAATCGAATTTAACTATATAATCCGAGCCTATATTTGAGTGGTTATGTTTGTATGGTTCTGTAAAAATTTTTATAGATCTATATAGAACGGAGATGGTGAAAACTCGTTGGAATGTTTTAACCTATGAAAATTATGTATAATATTTTAAACTGACAAACACTACAAAAAAGTTTAAATTACTTTGAAGAACATTGTATTAACAAGCTTAGGTCAAACAAACATTTCGAATGTAATTTTTCATTTCTTTGATTTCTTAAACAGTTATAAAACATAACAGTGAGATAACCATACAATATAAAATAAACATTTTTCTACAGGTTTGATTGTATTAGTTTTTGATTATCATAAAATATTAGGATCATAATTTTTGACGGCGAAGCTACCACAGACTTGTTTACTGTAAAGAATGTAATTTTTTAGGCGAATTCACCTAAGAGTTACCTTTTTCACCACTTAATGTGAGAATGGCGGGATTGATCTCATCCTTAGCCATAAAATCAGTTTGAGCTGATCTATTGTCATGTAGCTGATTTAATAACAACAATAATGAAAACTCAGTAACATACATCAACAGTAACAACAATTGACTTACATTGTTGACGAAGACCCCACAGTAGTCAGGAGAGCCCTGATTGGCTAACATGTTGATGACTAGTGACGTCATATGAGTGCCGTTCCCGTAGGATATACAGGAAGGCGTCCTGTAGTCCCGGGCGTGCAGTGCTCCTGTAAAAAACAGGAAGATTTTAAAGGGGAAAACTTGAAAAAAATTGCAAGATTATTTAAATAAAAGAAGAAATGTAGTGAGTAAAATTATTGCAGATGAAACATAAAAGTAACAACACAACAGCCATCAAAACTTCGCAATAAGCAGAGATTGCTTTTAACAGCGGAAAATGTCAAAAGTTTGTTAAAGTTGAGGCACTCTTCAACCGCGACTTGAGGGATGAGATCAAGCTATACCACTTGTTGTTTTTATGTAAACCTGAGCAATTAAATAGTCAATTGGATGACGGCATTGAATAATGATTAACTTTTAATTTGGCAACAAATAAAGAATTTTACTACAGTGACTGTTTTTTACTAATTGTTTTTTATTTATCCCTGAAAAACAGTTGTAATTGTGCTGTAAAACTCTAAACGTTGTCAATACAGTACACAATTAGTGATTAAAGTATTTTAAGGCGTGCTAAAATAATTTTCCCGCGGAAAGTGTGCTAAACATATCACGCATCTGTAATATAATGGATTAGCGAAATTGCTTCTTCCTTATGGGAGAGATTTTTTAAAACACCTTCTCCTCCCCGCAGTCGTAGGCTATGATTAGGTGAGCTGATGTGTCCGTACTTAGTCATTTTAACGGTCCCGGCCTGTCTTTGTGTTTGTGAATTTATGTCACGTAATAGTTTCCTATCCTCCACCTTCCACCCGGATCTGAATAGCCGTGTGTTGACGTGGGAAGATGCAACAGGTATATTGGATGCGAAAAGTGTGAAACCTCGATGAAAGCTAGTTGAAAAAGTGCACAAGACAACAATGCACGGTGTGACACAATGATAAATTTTACCTTTTGGACTTCTACCTCTATTAGTAGTAAAAGATTTTACATTCTGAATTTATCTCGCTTAAAAGGGAACGTGAGGAACAAATTTCTCACATAAAAGCTTCTTAAATAGTACGTACACCTCTTGGACAATGTAAACGGGGTTGTCTTTAAAATTCGTGAGATTAATAACTACTGGTCAACATCTCTAAGGGAGGTTAGATGATATGAAGGGGACAAAGAAGGGGGGGGGATAACCACAACCACATCCCAAGAAAACCACACGTCACCGCGGTCGTTGAAAATATTTACGCAACTTAAAATGTTTGTATCAAAGTACAAGTTAGATAAGGTTGCGTAGGGACACCACGATTTTTTGTATTAAACAAACCTATCGGTAATTTTTTTTATAGACTACTAGCAGAGTACCCGTCCTTCGTTCGTAAGTCAAGTGGTCAGTTAAGAGCGAGGGGATCCTATTCTCGAAACCTGTATTAAATTTCCTCTTTTTACTAATGGATTTGGTGGGATCCAGTGTTCGAAGCCAACCTAAACGTCTACACCATCATAGGACGAGCATATAGGTCTCTCAAGCGAGGAGGATCTTCTTTGTATTTGAGAACTCTTTACAACAATCAATCTTTTAGGGGGGGGGGGGGGTCTTTTAGGTTTTTGTTTGCTATGTTTTTGACTACAATAAAATATCAACTTGATTGCGTTTTCATCTGTTGAATGCATTCGAAAGCATTAGTTTGTGTTTGCCAGAGTTTCCTTTGTTCTATTACTTTCAGATTAAAACCCAATTACACCTTATCATGATAAAATAGCTAGAAGGACTATTAACAATTTTATAGCATCGAATATTTTTACTTTTGTAAGGGCGATGAAAAATAAGACTTAAGCTATATAAGTTAGTCATCCGTTATATTTTAATACGTCACATGAAATAGTTTTTTTTTTTTAATATACAAATATTGAAAATTATATCATCATTTAATACTTTATCAACATGGTCGAATGGTTTAGTCGAATAAGGACGTATAAAAACTTCTAGAAGAAGGTCTAGTTGTTATAATAATTTTTGTGTGTACAATACAAAATTATTACATGCATACAAAATAACACAATAGATAAAAGGAAGTTAAGAAATACTGATGTGTTTCAAATGCTACTGCGACTTTTCTCATCAAACTCATCATAGGAGAGGTAATCTACTGTAGAATCAGGAAATAATGTAGCGAGATGGAATTGTCTGTTACATGTTACATAACTACATCTGCTGCAATCTGCTACATGGATCTACTCTGTACATCAAGTAGTAGACAATAATGTACAACACGACAACAATGTACAGCTCGACGACAACAATGCATTGCACAATCTGTACGAGAGAAACGTGTTGAACAAACGTGTTGATAATCACGTAAATATCTTGCATACCGTATCTATACTGAATTTATCTTCTGTGATGCCTACATAAAATACTAAAAAAGATTAATTTTAATGACCACTCATATGCAATACAATTTGAAAGCTATCACCACAGACTAAGAACAGTTTTTCCCCTTAGTATGAGTGTGCTATTACCTTACAAATTAGGTTCACTGTTCGTAAAAATACTTATTTCCCCCCTAAAAGATAAGTTTTGTACATTTTTTGTTCAGCGTGATTTTACCGATTCATAAAAAAGTAACAGAAAAAAAAAATTGTAAATGGTGCCTCAATAGTTATCTTTTCAGAATTTCTTATATGATGTCATTAATGCAGCGTCACAGCGCTGCATATTTTATCTGAATTTCAGAGAAAGACGTAGGTGAGACAGAATAGAGAAGTCCCATAATGCACTATGCAGCTTTGGACCCGACTCTTCGCTATTCCTACTGTATGACACAATAAAGCCAATTGATCTAAAGCAGTTTTCAATTCGAGAATCCACTTTCGAATCACCAAAAAGCTACTGACGTTGCTTTGTATTGAACTGGCGAACTTCTGGTTGTTGGGGATCACTCAAATACCAAGCTAAGGGTAAAGTTGATCAGTGATTACGAGTTTGAACCAAATTTAACACTTATAAAATGTAAAAAGCTCATAGACATTTCTCTAAAATTTCCTGTACTATCTGCTTGTATTTAGAAAATACTCTTTGGCAAAAATTTTAGATTTGACATGCTATTCTAAATGAGTTCAAGGATCGTGAAAAAGATTCATATGTGTTGTTATATACATAGATAGTATTTATGCCGACGGGGAAAAGAATTAAGAGCAAATAATAATAACAATAAATAACAAGGCAAAAATATGATTAATTGTATTGAGGCATTTTAAAGGTGGTAGAATATGTTTTCGATAATATCCACGAGTTATTAACATTTTCCATGGATTAAAAGCTCGAACGAAATTTAATTAATAAATGGATGAAAACTGAAAGTGTTATTAAAGCCGAGATACGGTACTATTACCTTGATGGCCCTATCTGGCAACTTTACGCTCCAATAGTTACTGTAACTTTATCTGTTATCACCCATTACACTGTAACATACTAGAGAAGTTATCGTAAAAGAGGTCTTTAGCAGTTTAAGATGACAGTAATTAATTTTTGATCAAATATTATCTAATTGTTCTGTACATAATTTTTAAGTTAAAGGCTACGGTGATTTTCCTAACCTATTTCAGTACAAGTTTTCCCTTACAGTATTCCGAGTGTTTTTAGTGCTCGCCTTAAAATCTCAAGGTTGCTGGTTTGATTCTGCGAGATCTAATATGGATTTCGAAGTCATTATTAGGCTATCAATTGATGTACCGAACGGACGAAGTTAGACAGTAATATGCCCATGGTTTGGACAGTTTCCTAAAAATACTTTTAAAAACGCCAATTACCTTGACAAAATAAACGCAAAATGAATCACCCTTTTTAGTCTTACTACTGCTAATAGGCTACCCTAACAGCTTGTGCAAGTATCTATCAATTTAATCAAAGTATTTATTTATTTTAATACAAATACTCAGTACTATTAACTACTTTTTACCGTAATACACGAACAAATTGTTTCAAAATGATTAACATTCTGGTCATCCCTTTTACTATCGGAAATATGAGGAGGTATCTCAAACTCAGAGATGGGAAGCTGACAGAAATAATCCCTAGGGAACTCTTTCCCGTCCATCCGGGACCTGGGACTCCGTATAACTGCAAAGTTTCAGAATGATGTTCTCTGAATCTACTTACATCTCAACGTTCGCTGTCTACAAAACCCTTGAACATTTTGTTAAATTTACTTTTTATGTTTACTCATTAAATCACCAGACTTGTGTTTTTAAATATAATATGACAATTTTTTTTGAGGAAAATGTTATTAAAATATGCAGGTGTAAATACTGACAAAAATGTAAAATTTGTCAAGTTGACATCGATACACTAAAATAATGTTTCGTCTGGAAGAACTTTGATTGTAAAAGTAGTTCCATAAACACAAAACTCGAAAAGTATTTTTTGAAGATTATGAAAAAATTAACTCAATTCTTTCTTGAACATTCATAACGATATTTAAATTCCTGCAGTTAAAAATAAACTGTTGATAACCATTGACATCCAAAAGAATCGACCATATTGGTAAAATGATTATTGGTCAACATGTTGTATATTTTACTTACAGATCGTAGAACTATTTAACACGTTAAGTATTTAATTTTGTTTCTTAACCAAGCCATTAGAAAAGATGCATTCATTAAATAAATTAAACTCTATTCAACATTTAAAACACGCACTCTAAATCTAGTTAATCAACCTTTATCCATCAAAAAGCGAGGTCAACTTCAAGAGTGTTTCTCACTGTCAAGATACCATCGGTCCTTTTCGCATCCAAAGCAACATTCCTAAACGCCCGAGTCCAGGTTTTACTGGTACTTTGGCGGATGTGACCCGGAGTAAAGCAGACGACACAAAGGTCTTCTGCTATCAGCCGGTGTTAACTGCTATCAGCTGCTGACTCTAACTGCTACTTTCTACAGCCGTAAACACACTTCATTGTCACAAAAGCCTTCACGCTCTACTTGTCACATCGCTGGTGGACATCCATTAACACAATTAGGGCTGTGTTGGGCTTGATGGTTGGTTTATTGTTCAGTCAGCTGTTGGAAAATTCAAGGTTTGAAAATCCAAAGTTGACATCCAAAGAATGTGAAC